AACAATAGTCATGCAGCATTACTGCACTGGTAGTAATAGTGTATAGTTAGTATAGTTGTGCAGTTGCTGATCTGTATCACAGATAAGACGGCTGACTTTATCACTAAAAAAAAAGAACAATTATCCTGGGATTCATCCCTTTAATCCATTCAGTAGTTTGGATGAAACAAACTGAAGCAGCACAGTAATTTAGTCTAATTAGCCACCTCAGACCAAACTCTTCTGGGGACTGTCTGAGGATAAGTACCCTCTGAGTAGGTCCCCTGGGAGCTATTCGAATCCTTATTTATTTTTAATTTTTGCTTGCATTTGCCCCACAAATAGAAACTCTGAAGTAACACAAAAGCTGGCCAGCAGCTAGTTTTCCAACATCGCCTCTTGTTTTGATCCCTTTTTTTCATTTATCCCTGTTTTTAATCCTGTTTCAGCTTCTTCAGTGTCGCTCTTTATTGCTTCTCCTTGTAGCAAGTTCAAGTGTATTGCTGGTAAATATTTTAATATTTAATAGGGTCAAAAAAGCCTAAACTTTTCAGCTTGTTCATTTCATTTAGGTTTAATTCTGATTTTTTTCAACATTAACATTAAGAGCTGCTGATGTTTAGACGCACATCTGGAGCAACCATTTTACATCTACAACACTCAAACTTCCTGTTACACTAGGAATGGTACTATGAGCTAAAAACACACAAACAAAACAGCTCTTAGTACTGTGATGGTCCTCAAATCCATAGTGTTCACACAGAAGAAAGGGGGTACTGCCTCCTGTAGGTGCTACATTTGTGAACAAGATCCTAATATTAAGCTTAGGCGCTGCTACCAATTATGAGTTAATAATCGGAGCATCTCCTACTAACTGTTATTATGCAACATGTTTATATTGGGCCACATTACGCATTGATTGATTATAAAACCACAACAACATTAACTGCCCCCTTCCTTCTGTCTTTTTTCATTAGTAACTGTATGACAGAAATGAGAAATACTTTCTGCTGCATGCTAGATATTATATAGTTTACCAGCCAGAGTCTTGTATAGAAATATGGCTGTCTTCCATAAGCAGACAGCTAACAGGAAATATGTAAGAAATGTGTGAGGTGAAGCAGACGGAGCAGGCAGGTGGGAGAGAAGAGGAGGAACAGCAACACTGTGTGGGTGTCAGGATTGGCAAGCTGTCCGTGCTATCTGGTTTTCATCCCCGTCTTCACAGAGATATCAGAGTGTGGTGATTGTCAGATATGATGGATGATGTTGGTTTGGATTTATTATAGAACGGCTTCTGAGGCACATGATGTGAACCGATCTAAATGTCAGCACAGAAATTAAACTCCGGTTTTAGCACCTTTGGTCTCAATAGGGCATCGACAATAGCTTTTAGCAAGGAAGAGAGGGAAGTAGGCAGATGGTTCAAGCTTTATATGCCAGTATTCATCAGTTTCCATTTTGCTTTTAGTCTTCCCGTTCCTTCCATTTCCATTATTCCTTTACTGTGTCACATAGATAATTGGAGGTCACGGGATATAAATGGACCTTCATCCTAAACAAGGTAATCTTAGAGCTGCGAGTTAACTTGTTTGTGTGTGTGGTGTGTGTGTGTGTGTGTGTGTGTGTGGTGTGTGTGTGTGTGGGTGTGTGTGTTGTTTGTGTGTGTGTGTGTGTGTAAAAGATAGATAGAGCAAAAGTAAAAAAAACTGGGCCATGCAGCCTCTTGACACACAATCTCATTCACTGGCCACAGATTACTCACCGTGCACTTTGTGCGTATGTTGCGTACGTTGTGTGTGTGTGTGTGTTGTGTGATGTGTGTGCTGTGTTGTGCGTGTGTGTTTGATGGCCGCTGGGGTGAGAGCGTGTGTGTGCGTGCAGGCAGATGATTTGTGGACAAATTAAACGACTCGCTGTGTTTATTTGTTGTGATTGCTGACACTGACAGTCGTAATATGTGCAGGAAATGGCTAAAATGAGAGAGACAGACTTAGGTGCCCAGGCCTGCTTTTCATTCTGGTTACTTCAGGTCAAAATGGCCAGATGGCTGCTGCCTGCCATGACATGGCTGTCTAGATATAATTCAGACTGTTTGGTTGAAGCTTTGGATGACCCTTCTCATCTTAAAAGACTACAACCACGGTTATTAAGGACATTTTTCAAACAGTAATATGAAGGCTAAAATAGTATTTGTTCATTGTTTTTGACAAAGGAAATAAAGGTTGATGCAATGTTTGGCAATATCGCCTCAGAGCAGGAAGGCTCTGGGTTTGAGGCTGCTGGCCATCAGGGGCATTTCTGTGTACAGTCTGCATATGCAGGCTGGTTTCTCTCCTGTATGCCTCCTTCCTCTCATAGCCCAGAGACATGCTAGGTGAACTGGTGATTCTACATTAGAGTAGATGTGAGGGATTGTCTGTCTGTCTGTGTTAGCGCTGTGAGTGATTGGTTACTTGTTCAGGGTGCTCTCCAGCCCTCCTCTGACCCTGAAAACAGATAGATTGTTGCAGGTATTTCAAATGTAATTTCATGTCATGGAAGCTACCTGTACTTCATTGACTGTAAACAAAGTGTGTTATCTTCTAATCATTTTACACACCTGGAGCTTTTTATACAGTAACAATACTGTGCATAAATCTTATGATTAGAGTACTTGTGGATAAGAAGTGAAGATTGAATCATTGAAATTTTAGAGAAAATACAAAGAGCTACGTGTGAGAGGACTGATGTTATATTGTGTAGAGCTCTGAGGTTGCTGATATTCAAGTTCAGAGGTGAAATATATACTTTATTTATGCTCAAACGTCACAGTAGCCAAAATCATGAAAAGGAAAATAAAATCCCAATAAAAGCAAATACAACATCACAAAACAATAGCTCAGAAAATGTTTAAAATTGCACAAAAGCAGCTCAATAAAATATAAAATGGAAAGAAAGGAAGAGGTCAATAAATCAAAAGTGAAATATGATATAATATAAGCAGCTGTCCTTGTGGCAGCAGAGCTGAGATGTCAGACAAAATGCTCCACGCTGAGATGTTCAGGGTCACCCATTTGTTATCTAAAGCCATTAACCGGAGCCACAGTCATTTGTTGATGGAGGAATCCAAACAGCCTGTTTTGTATGTAAATGCTTGCTTTGTAAGTGCCTATAAATTTCACATAAATGCAGCAGAGCACAAAGCACAATGTTTGTTTGAATTGCGGCACTTCCGGGCCTCTTTAAATTGTGTCAAATGAAAATGTCAATGAGCACCAAAAGAGGATGAAAATGGTTGTAGAAAGGTGCGCTACCTGCATATTTGTGTTGGCGTGGATTTGAAAAAATATTAGGCAACTGATTTCTTTCTCAGGGTTAGTGGGAAAGATTGTGTTGACATCAGAGGTAGCAGACCATCAAGTGTGTTTCTCATGCAGGTCCAGACCTGCCTTAAATATTTTAAACCAGTTTGCCTGACATTTTGAGCGTTAGAACGACATGCTGAATGATTGAGTTTGTCCTTTGCATTCTCACCACTGCTAATCTACCACATGTTAACTTTGAGTATTCAAGTTTGTCTTTATGACATATAAACTGAATGGCTGAAATTTTTTTCTAGTTTTCATTCAAACAATTGTGCAAAGGAAATCTAGACTAAGTTGAATGATTTAGATTAATATGTTTTGTGTAAAAGACATCACTTTTTACAAAAAAATAAAAATAAAATATTAGCATTAGAGGCTTTAAAATAAAATACTACAAGGAAGGAGTTTATGTATTTAGGAACTATATGATTTAACACATGTTATGGTAATTGTGATGAAAATATTTAATTTTTCTACCCTGAAGACTGTTAAGAAATATACTCTAAAACACTTCTTCAGTAAAGACTCAGAGAAGAGAAACACACAGAACTTCTTGCTAGCAAGGGCAGCCTCCAGCACTGAGGCTCGCACTGAGAAACTGCCCCGGTCTTTATTTATACTTCAGTGAGCGTTTGTTCCTTACATTGGAATGTGGAGGTGTGTGTGTGTGCAGAGTGTGGCCCCATAAACGACTTCCCTTAACCTGCTGGTCTGGAAAATCCAACAGTTCATCTATATGTAAAAAAGCACTTAAACTAAAACTGACATAGCTACGTTAATCCTACTGTAAAACAATAAGACAAGGTACGACCTCTCTCATGCTCCTAGGATGTGGGGGTGAACACCCTAGAATGTTACAGACCTCCTAGGATAGAATAGAATTAGAATAGAATTCAACTTTATTGTCATTGCACATGCACAGGGCAACGAAATGCAGTTTGCATCCATCCAGAAGTGCTTTAGTGATATAGATATATTACAATATATATTAGCAATAATATAGATATGTGAGTATATTACAGAAATGGGTCTATTATGGTATGTTATAATGTACACGGTATGAAGTATGTTGTGAATATTCTATAACTAAATAGGATGAGACATTCTTTCAATATGCCACCAACTATATACTTCTACACACAAATGATTACATGCAGCATTCTACCATATGCAAACTTATATCATTAAAAGATTATACTGACTACTAAGTACAATTTTCCTGTTAACAAAGACCAAAAAGAAATAAAAACAAACAAACAAACAAACAAACAAACAAACAAAGAAAGGGTTGTCAAAATAACAAACTAGCAGCATCAGCGCAGAGAGACATAATCCTGCTGTTTCATCTGTGTTTGTGTGTGTGTGTGCGTGTGTGTGTGTGTGCGTGTGTGTGTGTGTGTGTTGTTGCTTGTCTGTCCAGTGTGTGTGTATCTGTGGCAACAAAGGCTCTCATTGATTGAGAAGAAATAACTCATTCATTGTAATTCTCTCTCAATGTTTGTGAGTCTGTTTTTGTGTGTCCCGTACGGTACGTACACACTAGTCCTCACAGACGTCTGTCAGCATACCGCATACTGTCTAAACTAAAACAATGACAATATAAACTGATACTACATGAAACCATCATGTATGGTGCAGGGTAATCAAACTTGTTCTGTGTCTTTCCTCCCATAGTGTGTCGGGGAGGAGAACTGGGTCGATAGCCGGACAATTTACATTGGACATAAGGAGCCTCCTCCAGGAACTGAAGCTTTTATACAGCAAAGATTTCCTGACAACAGAATAGTCTCTTCAAAGGTCAGTGAAACACCCACCCACACAGATGCACACATATTCAAAGCAGGACTTGCTTCATCAGGATCTGCCTGCAATATCATGAGAGTTTAGAGGTAAAGAACGTGCAAACAGGTTTTATTCTTTCAGCTTTAAAATCAATTATGATTTGAGCGCAGCATCAGTGTCTAAACAAAAGGACACAGCAGAACAGAGCTGTTAGTACTCCAGCACTATTCATGCTTTGTTTTTAAAGCGTGGGCGACTTCTACTTGGTAATGGGACAAAGACCAGTGAATGAGCTGTTTTGGGAAAGAACACTCTGTGCTGTGTTTTAATTTCAGTGATCAGTTTAGACCCGCTCCAACTTTTTGAAAGTTTCATATCTGTAATTCGTAAAATATATATTGTATATTTGCACTGGAATGCTTGATTATACCATCCCCCCCCCGCTGTTAAAGCAAACAGCATCAGGGACTGGTAGAACCAGCTGGTATTTATGCTGGTTCCAACTGCTAAGCTGGTCTTGGAGTGGACTTTCTGTAGATTAATTCTGTCCCTCCAGTCTAAATGTCAGCTTGTTATAAACTGAGGCTATGCTGCATGAACATTAATTTTAGTTTTACAAGCTGTAAATGAAAGAAGCCTAGATTTCTGACCTGGATGTAATATTTACATCCAGTCGTAGTATGAAGAAAGATTTTGCTGATATGGTCCAACTGGCATAACTATCTATAACTAAGTCTCACTTACTACAGCACGTTAACCAGGCCTCTCTCAACTGTTCATCACAGGTCCTTTGAGTGTTTGAGGTTTGAGTTTGTACCAATAAACATTATTTTACATGTTGCCAAGAAAAGCTTCTTCCTGCTGCCTGATTTAAAAAAACAAACAATAAAAGGAAAAAAGGAAAAAACATTTAGTAAACTCTACATTTGTCTGTTTTATAGCATATGTGTTCATGTGCAAAATTATGATTTCCTACCTATTACACGCAAAAACTACTGCAATTATTACTTTTAGGCTGGACTACTCTAATTCGTTATTATCAGGATGTCCTAAAAACTCCCTGGAAAGTGTTCAGTTAATCCAAAATGCTGCAGCAAGTGTACTGACAGGGACTAGAAAGAGAGAGCATATTTCTCCTATACTGGCCTATCTTCACTGGCTTCCTGTTAAATCCAGAGTTAAAATTAAAATCCTGCTCCTCAAATACAAGATCTCACATCTTGAATAATCTGACCCCATCTTATCTTAATGACCTTATAGTACCATATCACCCCATTAGAGCACTTTGCTCTCACACTGCAGGCTTACTTGTTGTTCCTAGAGTATTTAAAAGTAAAATGGGAGGGAGAGCCTTCAGTTTTCAGGCCCCTCTTCTATGGAACCAGCTTCCAGTTTGGATTCGGGAGACAGACACTATCTCTACTTTTAAGATTAGGCTTAAAACTTTCCTTTTTGTTAAAGCATATAGTTAGAGCTGGATCACGTGACCAATGTTCCCTCTAAGCTGAGCGCGTGAGCAATCGCGCACTGCTGACATGGTTTAACCACACAGAAAATCTCCGCTGCGCACAAAAAAAAATCCAGCCTGAATTGGAATTAAAGTAAATACATGTATTTATTTTATTTTGCTGATTTTCTGTGCGCGGAGACTGTGTCAGCAGTGCGCGATTGCTCA